CCCCTATCCTTCCCCCATCTCTCTCTCCCTCTGCCACTGTCTCCTCCTCCCACTCTCTATGCCTCTCCCTCCCTACAACAAACACCCCCTCCACACACACACACACTCACGAACACACATCACAAACGACCACATGAAAATACATAAGTTTTTCTTTCTATGGTGACAAAAAAATCTGGGTTGCCAAAGAGCAAGATGGAGAACCAGGGGACTAATGAATGAGCCTGAGAGGGAAGACTGGGTGGCAGACCTCACGAAAAGGGGGGAAGAGTGGGGAAGGAAGCTAGAAGTGCTTAGCAAGATAATGGAGAGGATAGCAGCAGAGAGCAGGAAATGAGAGCTACAAGCCACAGCAGCAGAAGCTAAGATACAGAGCAGAGAAGAGAAACAGTCTTAAGAATCGAAGAGCAGCACAGGGATGACATCAGGAACTGCTACATCAATCACAGACAAGGGGACTGTAGGGAACAAAGAAGCTATATTTTATCCGGAGGTCCTATCAGACCACTGTGGAGGCCGGAAAAAAGACAAGGAGTACATCAGGAACAAATGAGGGAATTGAAGAAAATGAAGGAGCTAAGCTATATGCAGAAGCCCTAACAAACCACAGCAGTGCCCAGGAAAAGCTGGGAAGGAAAAATGACAGACCACTGAACACAGGAACATAACCTAGAGAAGAGATTGAAAGAAGGAATGCTGCAATGGATGCAACTAAATTATTTTAGGGGATGTAAAGGAAAATGCAGTGGGAGGACGAAAGGGAGAGGTCAGTTTTTGTTTACAGGATCCAAGAAGTTGAAGGTAAAACTTATGAAGCAAGAAGATAGGAGGAGAAAAACGAAGTTGAAAATATCATGAAAGAAATAGCAAAAGACAACATGACCCAGTTGACAAGTTTTCTGAGAATACGGTGCTGTGCAAAATGAAATAAAAATAGCCGAATCAGGAGAAGGCAGAATCAGGAGAAAACACAACTAAGGGACAGACCAAAGTACCAGAGGATGTATCTTGACGTGACAGAACACAAGAAGAATGGCAGAACCTGAAAGAGAGGGTACAAAGACACAAGGGGGAACAAGAGGCAAAGACGGAGATGACCAGGAGAACCCAGACTCAGGAGGAACAGAAAATACAATCTCCCTCAGAACTACCCACTAATGGACCTCAACCACGACAACCCCAATGCAACCAAACAATCTAACCCAAAACACACACACTGTACCTATTGCCCCCCACCCCCTTCATCACAAATTCCACCCCCACAACTACCCTATAGTTCTGCACAAGGTCTCCCACTCCCCCAACTCCAATGTTCTCCCCAGACCACAGTTTTAGAAAAGAAGTTGAAGGTTTGGTATGTGGATGCAGATGGAATAACAAATAAATGTGAGGAGTGGCATGAAAGAATCAAGGAGATGTCCCCAGACATCATAGAAACGAACCTCACTGGGATAACACTCGCAGTCTTCCCACCCGGATATCAGATCCTGAGGAAAGATACAAGGAGCAGAGGAAGAGGAGTTGCACTGCTCATTAAAAACCGATGGAGATTTGAGGAAATGGATGGAATGGACGAAATTGGCGAAAGGGACTATATAGTAAATACAAGAGAAGAATATGAAGAGAACAACAGATTAGTGGTGGACACACTAGCAGAGGTATCCAGAAGAGCTCACACGGGTAGAATAAAGTTACTAGTTATGGGCAATTTCAAACACAAGGAGATTGATTGCGAAAACCTGGAGCCACATGGGGTCCCAAAACATAGAGAGTAGTTTGGAGTATTTTGGACATTGAGGATAACACACATGAAAGGCCCCTTGGAGCTAAGGATCACGTGGTTTTGAGCTTTGAATACATAATATAGTTACAAGTGGAGAGGGTAACAGGAGTAGGATGGATAAAGCCAAACTACAAAATGGGGAACTACACAGGTATGAGGAACTTCCTGCAGGAGGTTCAATGGGAAAGAGAATTGGTAGGAAAGTAAGTAAACGAAATAATGGACTATGTAATAACAAAATGCAAGGAGACAGAGGAAAGGTTTGTACCCAAATGCAACAGAAATAATGGGAATACGAGAATGAGCCCTTGGTTTACCCAAAGGTGTAGGGAGGCAGAAATTAAGTGCAAAAGAGAATGGAAAAAGTACAGAAGAAAAAGTACCCAGGAAAATAAAGAGATTAGTAGAAGAGCTAGAAACCAGTGTTCACAGATAAGGAGGGAGGCCCACCCACAGTACGAAAACGACATAGAATCAAAAGTCAGGTCTTACCTGAAGCCGTTGTATAGCCACATTAGGAGGAAGACAACAGTCAAGGATCAGGTAATCAGGCTGAGGAAAGAAAGTGGGTAGCTCACAAGAAACGACCAAGAAGTAATTGAGGAGCTCAACATGAGATTTAAGGAAGTATTTACTGAGGAGACACAAAGGACTTCCAGAAGTCAGAACAGAGGGGTACACCGAGAAGTGTTGGAAGAAATACAAACAACTTAGGAGGGGGTGAAGAACCTGCTAAGTGACCTTGATACCTCAAAGGCAGTGGGACCAGACATCTCTCCATGGGTCCTTAGAGAGGGAGCAGAGATGCTGTGTGTGCCACTAACAACAATTTCCAACAAATCCATTGAAAAAGGACAACTACCTTAGGTATGGAAGACAGCAAATGTAGAACCTATTTTTAACAAAGGAGAAAGACACGAAGCACCAAACTATAGAGCAGTCTCACTGACGTGTATAGTATGCAAAGTCAGGAAGAGAGTGGTGGAGCACCTAGAACGGGACAAGATTATAAACAACAACTAGCACAGCTTCATGGAAGGCAAATCCTGTCACAAACCTACTGGAGTTTTATGACAACAGAAGACATGAGAGAGAAGGGTGAGTAGATTGTATTTCCTTGGAATCCAAGGACTTCGACACAGTTCCTCACAAGAGATTAATGCAAAAGCTAGAGGATCACGCACCCATAACAGGAGAGGGCATTGCAATGGATCAGAGAATACTTGTCAGGAAGGAAACAATGATTCATGGTATGTGACAAGGTGTTAGAGTGGGCGCCTGTGACGAGCGGGGTTCCACAGCAGTCAGTCCTAGGCCCAGTGCTATTTTTGGTATATGTGAATGACATGACAGAAGGACAGATTCAGAAGTGTCCCTGTTTGCAGATGATGTGAAATTAATGAGGAGAATTAAATCGGATGAGGATCAACCAGGACTACAAAGAGACCTGGACAGGCTACAAGCCTGGCCCAGCAACTAGCTCCTTGAATTTAGCCCCGCCAAATGCAAAGTCATGAAGATCGGGGAAGGGCAAAGAAAACCGCAGACAGAGTATAGTCTAGGTGGCCAAAGACTCCAAACCTCGCTCAAGGAATAGGATCATGAGGTGAGTATAATACCGAGCACATCTCCTGAAGCGCACATCAACCAGATAACTGCTGCAGCACATGGGCGCCTGGCAAACCTGAGAAGAGCGTTCCGATACCTCAGTAAGGAATCATTAAAGACTCTGTACACAATGTATGTCAGGCCCATACTGGAGTATGCAGCAATAGTTTGGAACCCAGACCACGTTAAGCACCTCAAGAAATTAGAGAAAGTGTAAAGGTTTGAAACAAGGCTAGTCACAGAGCTAAGGGAAATGTGCTAAGAAGAAAGGTTTAGGGAAATCGGCCTGACGACACTGGAGGACAGGAGGGTTACGGTAGACTTGACAACGACATACAAAATACTGCAAAGAATTGACAAGGTGGACAGAGACAGAATGTTCCAGAGATGGTACACAGTAACCAGGGATCACAATTGGAAGTTGAAGATTCATATGAGTCAAAGAGATGTAAGGAAGTATTTCTTTAGTCATAGAGTTGTCAGGAAGTGGAATAATCTGGCAAGTGAGATAGTGGAGGCAGGAACCATGAATAGCATTAAGATGAGGGAGAGGGGAGAGAGAGGACCTACTAGCGATCAGTGAAGAGGCGGGGCCAGGAGCTATGTCTCTACCCCTGCAACCACAAATAGGTGAGTGCAAATAGTCGAGTACACACACATATATATATTATATATCCTGCCGAATAAGCCAAACCGTTAGTTTATATATATAAGATAAGATTTCGTTCGGATTTTTAACCCCGGGGGGTTAGCTACCCAGGATAACCCAAGAAAGTCAGTGCGTCATCGAGGACTGTCTAACTTATTTCCATTGGGGTCCTTAATCTTGTCCCCCAGGATGCGACCCACACCAGTCGACTAACACCCAGGTACCTATTTACTGCTAGGTGAACAGGACAACAGGTGTAAGGAAACGTGTCGAAATGTTTCCACCCGCCGGGAATCGAACCCGGGCCCTCCGTGTGTGAAGCGGGAGCTTTAGCCACCAGGCCACCGTGTATGTATGTATGTATGTATGTATGTATGTATGTATGTATATATATATATATATATATATATATATATATATATATATATATTATATATATATATATATATATATATATATATATATATATATATATATATATATATATATATATGATACTATGCATCATAGAAAGCAGTCTCTGATATCACCATAATTATTGTTTGATTCACGTTATCATCTGTCAAAATTTTATTCCTGGGTTATCCCAGGTTCTCTACACATATGTTGCTGTGTATGATAATCTATGTAACTGTATTTGTGTATACCTGAATAAACTTACTATTCAATAACAATTTACGGTATTTAAGTGATCTGTGTACAAATAGGATTAAAATAAACATCCCGACATTTAAGAATTTTCCAGAATTGAGAATTAACTTCAACATCAAACATAACGTATTTCACAGTGAAGAATACACTATTTAGTGTTTATATTCTAGAATTTAATATTAATATCAAGGTCTTGTGGTAGTGTTAATAAGTAATTTTGACTGGTGGTGAAGCGACAACAAGTGAACACAGATGCTGTGTAGTTGATAAGATTTTTGTCCATAAAACAAAAATGAGACATTCACTTACATTCCTCAGTTGGACGGTGCGTAGTCTAGTGCTTTAAATGTATATTACTGTCACTTTTGGCTCAAGGTTATATTTAACAAGCAGAGTAGTGATGAAGGCAGCAGCAGCACCACCACGACTGTGGAGCTGGAGGACTGGCACAGCCCACTGGCTCTTACCGTTTTCTTTCTACTATTATTACCATCACATGAAATACATTACATAAAATGAGATTACCAAACTTTAAGTTTGATAGCATAAATATTATAAACTGATTTGCTTAATAAGGAGTTCTAATAAAAAACGCAACGAATTATTCGTTAAAAGGTCGTGACGATATACCTTCCTAGGAATAAATGATTTATCAAGCGGAAATGATAAGCAAACATACCTAGAATGATTGCGCGGCCAACATATCGTACCGCATTTTAAAGAAAACTAGACTGGCAGATTTAAATATAAACATATCTCAATATATCGGGAATAAACATTGGTTAGCCAGGTAAGCAAATAAGATGTCGTATGAAGCATTTAGTTAGAGGTGGGAGCTGTTATTCTGTTATTTACTAATGGAGATGATAATACTTCATAATACATTTATTTGTGGCCCGGTGGCCTGGTGGCTAAAGCTCCCGCTTCACACACGGAGGGCCCGGGTTCGATTCCCGGCGGGTGGAAACATTTCGACACGTTTCCTTACACATATTGTCCTGTTCACCTAGCAGCAAATAGGTACCTGGGTGTTAGTCGACTGGTGTGGGTCGCATCCTGGGGGACAAGATTAAGGACCCCAATGGAAATAAGTTAGACAGTCCTCGATGACGCACTGACTTTCTTGGGTTATCCTGGGTGGCTAACCCTCCGGGCTTAAAAATCCGAACGAAATCTTCTGTATTATCAAAGCAAGATTCATCCCCCCCCCAGGCGCTGTATAATCCTCCGGGTTTAGCGCTTCCCCCTTGAGTATAATAATAATAATAATAATAGTAATGTTTTACCAGCTTAGAGAAGGTGTCAAATAACACTCACGTCACTCAGGATATTGTTGATGTCATTCTCTATCTTGTGCTAATATAACTTATTTACCGCCGCTATAAACACATTGCGTCACAGACACCATGAATACTTTCAGCAGGAGAGCAAACTTGTTTCTATGTTTTACTTCTCGGTTTTCAAGGCTCACGCTTCACACGGTGAATGTCCGGGTTCGAATCCCAGCGAGGATAGAAATATTGGGTATGTTTCTTTACACAAGCTATGTTTCCCATCAGTAAAATGGGTACCTGGGTGTTAGTGGACTGGTGTGGGTCGCATCCTGGAACAAAATTGACCTAATTTACTGAAATGCTCAGCATAACAAGCGGCTTTCTGTATAGTAGTACGTCATTGATGTCAGCTATGTTCAGTATACCTTGTACATGTACGTACTTGTAGAAATAAAGATATATTATTATTATTATTATTATTATTATTTTATTATTATTATTAATTTTTATTTACACACTGGCCGATTCCCACCAAGGCAGGGTGGCCGGAAAAGAAAAACTTTCATCATTCACTCCATCACTGTCTTGCCAGAAGGGTGCTTTACACTACAGTTTTTAAACTGCAACATTAACACCCCTCCTTCAGAGTGCAGGCACTGTACTTCCCATCTCCAGGACTCAAGTCCGGCCTGTCAGTTTCCCTGAATCCCTTCAAAATGTTACTTTGCTCACACTCCAACAGCACGTCAAGTATTAAAAACCATTTGTCTCCATTCACTCCTATCAAACACGCTCACGCATGCCTGCTGGAAGTCCAAGCCCCTCGCACACAAAACCTCCTTTCCCCCTCCCTCCAACCTTTCCTAGGTCGACCCCTACCCTGCCTTCCTTCCACTATAGACTGATACACTCTTGAAGTCATTCTGTTTCGCTCCATTCTCTCTACATGTCCGAACAACCTCAACAACCCTTCCTCAGCCCTCAGGACAACAGTTTTGGTAATCCCGCACCTCTTCCTAACTTCCAAACTACGAATTCCCTGCATTATATTCACACCACACATTGCCCTCAGACATGACATCTCCACTGCCTCCAGCCTTCTCCTTGCTGCAACATTCATCACCCATGCTTCACACCCATATAAGAGCGTTGGTAAAACTATACTCTCATACCTTCCCCTCTTTGCCTCCAAGGACAAAGTTCTTTGTCTCCACAGACACCTAAGTGCACCGCTCACCCTTTTCCCCTCATCAATTCTATGATTCACCTCATCTTTCATAGACCCATCCGCTGACACGTCCACTCCCAAATATCTGAATACATTCACCTCCTCCATACTCTCTCCCTCCAATCTGATATCCAATCTTTCATCACCTAATCTTTTTCTTATCCTCATAACCTTACTCTTTCCTGTATTCACTTTTAATTTTCTTCTTTTGCATACCCTACCAAATTCATCCACCAACCTCTGCAACTTTTCTTCAGAATCTCCCAAGAGCACAGTGTCATCAGCAAAGAGCAACTGTGACAACTCCCACTTTATGTGTGATTCTTTATCTTTTAACTCCACACCTCTTGCCAAGACCCTCGCATTAACTTCTCTTACAACCCCATCTATAAATATATTAAACAACCAAAATGTTATGCAGAAAGGTGGGACAGCTGAGGGCTTGAGCCTTCTCTAAGGGCAAAGGTAAAAGTTACACACATCTCAAGCATAAACGGGCCACCCAGGGCTATCCCAGTCAAAACAGAAAGTGCTAAACCAGTATGTGTTACTTCAATGGGTTGGTTAACAGAGGGTTAGGCAAAAATCGCAGTTAGGAAAATATATCTATTTATTCAACATAACACTATATACACACTCTAGAAACACCTTAATCCTAAATGCCCAAATGACAGTACACAAGAAACAGCTGGCTGGAGGTCCAGCCAGCATAACCACTAGGCCTAGTCAGTGCCAGGCCGACTCTACTCCACTCCCAACCGAATTTCTTATTTCCTCACTCATCTCACAGCACCCTGACCATGTCAGAGCCTGGGTGAACATACAGGTAAGCCATAGAAGAGCCTATGGCTTGGGTTAGCTAAACAAAAGGAGTGCACAACTACAAACTTAGCTTAAATACACAGCACCTCCGACGCCAGCCTCCACACCATGCTGACTCCCGTGACTGCCCCAAGCCACGTTTACCCCGTGTACCCAAACACAGTTGGAAAATAACTACCTAGCAGGATTTCTTTATAATTACATTTAGAGTACTTTACAGTGCCCCCAAATGCACATTATGAATTATAAAATTATTATTTACAATTATAACATTCATACTATTATGGCACACTTCTCCACTATATGTACATTACAATGTCATGCAGAACCCTGCATAACACCCCCACCCCCAGACCATAGGTCTCACTCTGCTAGCGGGGTCCCTACAGACACCGCTAGGCAAAAGGAAAAAGAAAGAAAATAAACCCCACATTAAGGTCTGAGGCAACGGGCAAAATGATAACTGGGGAATGACCACCATACAATCACGGTCTTTTGGTACTACAAATATGCAATATTAACAAATTGAGGTACTAGATTGCAGACATGTGAAACTCGCCGAACATAAAAGTGATCAAGTTCTATGTCAAACGAGCCCACAGTCACACTCTTAGACAACTGTGTTAGGAAAAGGCACCATCACAACACAGCGCTGGCCAGGCACTGGCGTTGATGCATTACATCAAGCAAACTTATAAACGAGCAAGTTAACTTTGTACAAAAGTGCCCCTGAGGAATGCCGTTTTCTGAAGTAGCACCAAAGTTCAGTATGTATGTGCCAACAAAAAAAACTTTTAAACAGTAAGTACTTTTTCCAGGAGTTCAAAGAAAAGGAAAACAGATTTTACATGTTAAATTCTACTTAGAAAGCAACATCACATTATCACTCCCATCTCACAGCAATTTTTTGTAAACAAAACTGGTTCCCCATGACACACCTCTACGAGAATCAGGAGAGCACAGGAGAGTGGAAAAATATCAGACCCCAAAAACAAGGGGTGGATAGGAACATAAATCTTGTTGGTGGGACTGCGGCCGTAAAACCCTGGAGTCATCACTGAAGACCCCCAAAAGGTGGACCTCCCAGGCCGACACCTACATGTCATTCCAAGGACCCTGGAGTCACCCCAGCGGTGATCCAAAAAGGAAAAATTGAAAAGAGTCCTGGAGAACCAAAACACCTCGGATCAAGAGACATGACCCAAACAGTGGAGGGCATCACCGCCAGCCCCACATTCACTAAAACGTTAGGCCCAACAGTCCCTATACCAACATAAAACAGAGGCGAGGCATTCCAGCCAACACCTAAAAAAAAAGTAGCATACCTTACCTAGGCATGGCACTTGATGTGACTACCCTCCAAAACACACACACACTACGGAATCCTGATACCTCCAGCTCCAGCTCACCATGCCCTTCTCCTTTGGGTGGTTCAGGGTTCCATCTACTCGTCTACTGCAAATCACTGCAAAATAAGAATAGATAAGGGATCTATACACTACTTCGTGCACTTTAAACACAAGACAAGGCAACAGCAACCACATTCTCCGCTCCCTTCACATAATGAATCACAAGATTAAGAGGTTGGAGAAACAAGGCCCACCTCATAAGTCTCTGATTGTGGTTCCTCATTAAGTGAAGGAAACGTAAGGGATTATGGTCACTATACACAGTTATAGGGTGAACTGATGATGATATATACACCTTAAAATGTTGCACTGCCAACAATAAAGCAAAAACCTCCTTTTCTATGGTGGTATAACTTCTTTGGTGCCTGTTACTTTTTGCTGAGAAGCAGCCGAGTGGCATTACTTCGCCTGCTCTACCCTGCAACAAGACTGACCCAACCTCTGTATCATTTTTGCAAAACCCAGGGTGGGTAACTCAGGATTATACATAAAAGATCTTGAGGGTTAATGACATACAAAAGGTTCATGTACAGAGATATTAAAGTTACAAATATGGGTGTGTCCTTGGCACACATGGTCATGGGGATCAGATGACCCCCCGCGGTTCATTCACACACTTTGCATGTAGTTCATGTACCTGGCGGCAGTTAGTGCACGTTTTCAAGGTATCACCTAGTGTGAGACCAGTAAAAGACAATGTCCATCGACTCTCGCTGGATACAAGCACAGTCTCTAGAAATAAACACTTCCCTTCCTTCAAGGAACCTATTTCACCCCAGCTTACATCATGCCAGGCC